AGAAGATTGTATTGTTTAGAGAGAAGAAAATTTGGAATTCAATTCTGACGAAGATTCTCTCTCTCTCTCTCTGTGAATGATAAATTCACTGGAAAATTATTGGTCTATGCAGAGCTCCCTTTGGAACCATCTCTTTCCAGGACCCTTTTGGAAGCCAATGAGTGTGGCTGCTTATCCCAAGCTTTGACTGTAGCCGCCATGCTATCTGCTGAAACAACATTAATTTCTGGTCGAAGGTAGACTTGTTTCCCTGTGGCTTTTATATGCTTATTATTTTGTGGTTATCAGCTAGATGGTTGCGTGGTTGAAACATTGATCAAGTTCTAAGCAAATACTGGTATTACAAAGAAAAACACTTGGTGTTCAATTTTTCTGAATGGAAATTTAAGGCCTTGTCTTTCAGGAAAGCAAAGTCAAACTAATACTTTCTAGCTTCTTGCTTCTGATTGAAGATAGACACATGTTCTTTTCTTTTTAATTTCATGCACAATGTGATTGTTCTAGTCTTGTGGCATTTAATTGTTCATACAAGTAGGAGCAGATATAATGTGTATGCTAAGTAGCTAAAGCAAATTTTAAGTTGTCAAAGAAGAAATTCCAGTTTTTGACTGATACAACAGAAATCAAAAGCAAAATAGGAAAAACGAGAGCCAAAGGCAAAGAAAACCAACTTTTTTTCATTTTAAGGTGGACATCATTTTGTTTTGGTTACGGTGTGACAGGTCAGGAACCTTATAAATTTTTGAGTCAATCTCACCGTTTTGCTTAATAATTTGCTTGTCTGCAAACTACAAGTATATGCTGCTCTGATTTTTCGTCACAAAGTTACTTGACTTAGTTATTGGTCTGATGTTTGTTCTGTAGCAAGATCTCTGAAAAGAAGAGAAAGCATATTCCTTCGAACCTTCCTGATGGTTCTGGATGGGGAGATCACATCCAGTTGCTTCAGATATATGAGCAGTGGCATCGGACTGACTACAATGTGGACTGGTGTAAAGATAACAATTTGCAGGTGTCTTTTATGTCTTTTATTTTTGGCCTTAATGTTTCAAAAATCTTGCTCAGTTTATCAGTCTATCTTCTGGTTATGTAATGAGCCATGCATCCATAGACACATATTATCGTGAATTTTAGATTGGTGTCTCAGGCTTTAGGCAAAGTAACTTAATTTGGAGAAATGAAGTAAACATATGGAATTGTTTTTCATTCTGAATTTAAGGCTTTACCTGCTGTAGTGGAGAAATATATGAAGTTGATCAATAACCTCTAATTGCATTGTTAAATAACTTGGACTTCCATCTCAAAACCAATTGGCTGTGAGTGGAGTGGCCCAACATCTTATGTATATATGGCTGGAAATCCTTGGAATATCAATGTAGGATATACAACTAACATGCATTTACAATTTTTTTCTCTAACTGTATTATAAAGACTTCTTTTTTTATCCCTCCCACGCCCCCTCCCACTCCCCCCCCCCCCCCCCAAAACCCTAACTGCCAGGCATAAGATTCGAACCCTGAACCTGCTGGCAGCAGGGAAGACTCTACGAGCTCTCCCCTAGTCACTGGGCTGACCCAATGGTTCGGTATTATGAAGACTTGAATTAGCTATGAAATATATAATTTGGCAATGAATTTACTGGTTTCAGGTGCGGGGAATGATGTTTGTCAAGGATGTTAGGAAACAGTTATCTCAGATAATGCAGAAAAGTGCGAAAGGTCAGACATGATCAAGACTATGCCTTTGTGTTACATATAGCTGTTGAGCTTTTATCTTCACTAGACTTATCTAAAATTCTTCTTTTACTATGTTGTTTTAGTTCGAACTCCACTAACACTGATGATAGATTTCTACCATGTCATCTAAGATTGTGGCTTTTGTGCTTTGTTGTTTATTTTAACATCAGTCGATATATTACTTTTGTCAAGAATTATGTCTCATTTTCAGTTTGCGTTGTCCATAAATAACAGAGTCATTGGACGTAAGAACAAGGAAAGGAAGGAGAGAAAGCCAACAGGATTATAAGAATTTGAGAAAAGCTTTATGCGCGGGCTATGCCAATCAGCTTGCTGAGAGAATGATTCGTCATAATGGTTATCGAACTATTGGTTTTAAGTCTCAACTAGTTCAGGTAGGGTGTTAGAAGAATTTTGCAACTTGATTTGTCATTTACTGTGCCACAAAACTGCATAAATGTTTCATTTCTAATGTGAAATTGTTCTTATGTGATGAAATGAATTCTGTTTGGCCAAGGTAAAGTGCCAAAAGAGACTAGTGTTAATTTTGCTTGGTTTAGATACATGCTGGTATATTACTTTTTTTAGTCCAACATTTGCCTTTAGGTGTTGCCTAGAGCCTTGAGCTTTGGGATCTTAAACATTTGCTTTTCACATTTTCCTTTTCCAGGTGCACCCATCCTCTGTATTGAGGACAGATGAGGAGGGCATGCTCCCGAATTATGTAGTGTATCACGAACTTATTGCCACTACACGTCCCTTTATGCGCAATGTTTGTGCAGTTGAAATGCCGTGGGTCATGCCCATCACAAGGAAGCTTGAGAAGCTAAACGTCGAAAAACTCAGGTGTAGTTACACGAAAGATTATTGTTTCAAGGGATTGGTATTTCTGCATTAATAAGTTGCATTTTTCTTTCATTTTTTTCGCTTGGTTAATACTTATTCTTTTTCGAAACAGTGGTGGATTCTCTGAGCCTGAAAAGAGCGTTCATGTGGAGAACTCAGACTTGAGGAAGGAAAATAGTAGTCTTCCTAAGCTTCCAGATGACCATGATAGCAAGATACAAGCAGCTCGTGAGCGTTTTCTTGCACGTAAAGGCATTAAATAGTCCAAATAACTTGGACGAACTCAAGTCTTACTTCTGCCGAGGAATATGTTGGTGCTACCTAGCTTCTTGATCATCATGATTTCTCAGATTCAGGTTTCCATGGAACTTTCTCCCTTGTAAAGCTGAGAATAAGACAGCACCCGGGGACGCCTTACTGGACGGGTAGCCCCAATGGAAAATCAGTCAATTTACAATTGTTGATAGGGCTTGCCTATGTAGAAATAAGAGCTCACAGAATTTTCTGTGGTTACACTGGCAATCTCTGTAAATCGGTATTCATAATATGTGGATGAAGTACGGAAAAAAAGATTTGTTTCAACTTTAGTGTAATGATCATTGAGGATATAATGGTAACAGAATATGGTCTCAACTCGTGGGAACTTCTTCTTTGATTTGATATATTCAGCTGTACATTGTATTCGTTCTTGAGGATTATGATATCTATGAAATTCCAATTTACTGAAATCCAAAATCCGAACTAAATTTAACAACTGAGCCAAGGCTCAGTGGGCACCAAAGGAGGACTTAGTTGTAAGTCGGGATTCAAACCTTACTTGCAGTGAAAAAAAATTTAAAGGTGGTATTAGAGTACCCTTTTGATCTAGTCAAGTCTATATATATATTAGTTCTTTACACAGTTTCTTTAGGCTCTCCTTTCCTGTAGAATAGGATAGATTAGGTTATACTGTAATGTGTTTGGACAGCCAATTATTTGGCCAAATATATTTGCTGACATCACCATTACAATTTCCAATACACCTTTTTATCTTCTCAATTACTTTTTTATCTCACATACATCACATCACAAAAAGTGCTACAGTAAAAATATTTCAAAAAACTTACAATCCAAACACACTGTCGGCAAAAAAAAAATCCGAACAAAATTTGTTAGGCTGATTTTTCGTTTTTTTTTTCCTTAACACCCGTACTAATTAACATAACAACAACATCCTATAGCTCACCTACTTCAAATGTGAAGCTGCTGTGCCTGCTTTTTCAATTTTGGTTCTACATTACTCTTCACACCATCAAATTTTTAATTGCTATACTGTCTTAAATTAGTATGGTCAACTTATAGGTCTTTTTTCTATAGAATTTAGTGATTACCACAAGAATTTGTAATCTGTATGGTGTTTACAATATAGACCGTATCAATAAATAGAGAGAAGGAGAGATCACTCAATGAATGAATAGGCAACTTTGCTCCCACTACTTTATATTTTAGGATAAAAAAGCCCCTTCCATATTAATTATTATTTTATTTCTTTTTTTATACTTTTCTACTTGTTCCTTTTCTTTATATTTTCATATTTTTCTCCCTTCTCTCCTATGAATAACTACTTTCTTCTCTTTGCTATTTTTATTTATTTATCAATTTTAATCTTCTTAAACCGATTCTTTATTCATTTCTATCTTTTTTACTTTTTGTCATTGGAAGTAATGATGATCATTAAAATCTATGTTATAATAAAGTATATGTTATCTAAGTGCATAAACTATTTCACATATTATTTAAATTAATAGGTCTAGAGTTTAGAATAAATTAATTTTTAGTAACAACATTGACAAATTCATATCGTAATGACATATATTAGTGGTCAATCAACTATATATATAAAAAGAATTAAAAATTAGTTACTTTTTTTTTTTGGAATACACTTCATAATAACATAGTGGTTAATCAACTATACATAAAAACGATTAAAATATTAGTTACTTTATTTTTTGGGATATACTTTTACATATTAAGTAATTTAAAGTTCTAGTTTGCTAATATCTTTTTAAATAGTTAATTTGCTGGTAATATATACTCTTTTCATTATGATAGGCATATATCAATTTTTTACGCCGTCTTGAATTTTTTAATAGTGTCAATAAATAACACAAGAAGGGATGTTCTAGTAATAAATAATTATAATATTATAATAAGCATATATATTAGTAATACTAATAGGAAAGTGAAACAAAATAGTTACCCAAGAGAAGTGAAAAAATAAAAATAGTAAAAAATAAAAAAAAAAGATGAAAGAAAGTAGTGGGAAAGAAATAAGGGAATGAATAAATAAAAAAGAAACAAAATAAAATAGTAAAGATAATTTTGTCTTGAAATATCAACTAAGGCGCAAAGTACTTATTTAATTAGTTCCGGCAAAGCGCAACGTTCAGGGGTTTAGTGCATTTAACCCAATTTTAAATCCACAAACCCTCTGCTTTAGATTTTCCGTTGCACTTCCATGCCCGGTTGAATTCCACCCCTTTCTCTACCGTCTGCGGCCGGATTTTCTCCACTTTAAATGGGTAAAACCTCCATATAAACGGGCTTGTATCGCCATTGCTTCCATTGCGATAGATGGGCTTCAACATAGCGATTTACCGATGCATATCTGTTGGGTACTATTCTGCTTGTTTCATTTGACTTTAGACTCCATCTATTGCTCCACAGCAGTTGTTTTTGTTTGATCTTTTTTTTTTTTTTTGGCTAGAACCCTTTTTTTTGGTTCAGCTTTGGTATTTTTCATACTTGATTTTTGGAAGCTGCTTAGACAGACACTCTCACTGAACAGGCATACATATTATTACCTAAAAATGTTTTTTAATTTAATTTTGTTGTTCGCATTGTGGAATTTGTTATTTATTTCCATGTTTACGTTCGTAATTGTAGTCCGAAATTTTGATCTTGCCTATATAGAATGGCTTCTGAGCTTCTTTCTGCTGATGGGATAGTTGTTTACTAATAGAAGAAGCCAAAATTGACGGCTAGGATGGAAATAGGATCTACTTTCTTCATGAATTGTGTATCCAAGATACTTTCGAAACACCCTTTAAGCTAAAAATGTAATGTTGAACTTCTTACAGACCGTGTTGTTGTTTGTTTGATAATCTGTTCATTGAGAGCATGCCATGCTCATTAATAATTGTTCTTTTTGATTCGCAAATTTGGTTGCTGAAAGACTATTAAAGATGTTGTGTATTTTTAACAGGTTTCCATGATGATACAAGTTATTGATACTACAGCTCGAATTCATGATTCCAATCTATTATAGTGAAGCAAGAGATCATGCTTTTCTTAATACAAACAAATAAGTTTCAAATTCATCGGAACTTAAACATTGCCTTTAAACAAACTAGCTGGTTTCACTGTTTGTCAGAGACGGATGTTGCAATTGAAAGAATTGCTACAGTTATAAATGACCATCCTTTTCCTGATAAGAGGCTGCATTCCACACTTCGCCGTGAGATACCTCCAGGTGTTCTGTCTACAACCTTTGTGGAAAATGTCCTTGGTCACTTGTTTGGTGCGCACTCAAATGGCATTAAGGCATATGAATTTTTCAGGTTTTGTCTCTGTCAGCCTCATTATGTTCCAAGTTCAGATGCTTTTGAGAAGACACTCCACATACTTACAAGAATGCGCTATTTTGACAAAGCTTGGGAACTCATGGGAACAATCAGGGATAAACACCCTATCCTGCTTACTCTCAAATCGATAAGCATCATGATATCAAGAATTGCGAAATTTCAGTCCTATGAAGAAACTCTTGAAGCATTTCAGAGGATGGAGAAGGGTATATTTTCAGGGAAGCAATTTGGGAGTGAAGAATTCAACATACTTCTTCGAGCTTTCAGCACACAAAGGCAGATGAAAGAAGCACGATCAGTTTTCAACAAGCTCCACACTAGGTTTTCTCCCAACACCAAAACATTGAATATTTTGCTCTTGGGATTCAAGGAATCAGGCGGTGTTACTTCGGTTGAGTTGTTCTATCATGAGATGATTAAAAGAGGTTTTAAGCCCAATAGTGTGACTTATAGCATTAGAATTGATGCTTACTGTAAAAAAGGTTATCTTGGCGATGCCTTGAGACTCTTTGAAGAAATGGAACAGTGTAAAATAATGCCCACAGTAGAGACTATTACTACTTTGATTCACGGTGCTGGGATAGCTCGAAATGTTACAAAGGCAAAAGAATGTTTTGATGAAATTTCCAAGAGAAACTTGAAAGCTGATATTGGGGCTTATAATGCCCTCCTGAGCTCTCTCCTTCAGTGTAAAGATGTAAAATCGGCTGCCGCTCTAATGAATGAAATGGAGGACAAAAATATCGGGCTTGACAATGTTACATATCACACAATGTTTTTGGGATTAATGAGATCATATGGTATTGCTGCTCTTTCGGAACTTTATCAAAAGATGATTGAGAGAAATTTTGTGCCAAAGACACGGACAATTGTTATGTTAATGAAATACTTCTGTGAGAACCAAAGACTTGATTTGGGTGTGAATTTGTGGAGTTATTTACTGGAGAAAGGACACTGTCCTCACAGTCATGCTTTAGATCTTCTTGTGACTGGATTATGTTCCAGAGGAAGGTTTGAAGAAGCTTATGATTGTTCAAAGCAAATGTTGGAGAGAGGTAGACATATGAGTGAGCTATCATATAGAATGTTGGAGAGGTACTTACTGCAGATTGGACAGATGGATAAATTGCAAAACCTGGACAAGCTGATAAGGAGATTACAAGCAACGCTCCCACCTTCCAGGGGACATGCAAATGCAAACTCCTAGTGTATCTTCTTCCAGGTCGGTCGTAGCAGTATAAATTTATCTTCTTTTAGTGTTGTGCGCAGATCTATTTGTGGTGCTAAAATACATTTTGCTTGAGATATTTCATTTTGACAGTGAAAATTCATTAGTTTCCAATTGACTCATCCTATTTTGACCAAATTTCAGTGTTGTTTGTGACGTACTTTATAATTTTCTTGGCTCAACCCCACTCACCTCTCATAGGTATCTAAAATTTGATTTTGAACCATGATGTACTCCTTGCTAGTTTTTTTTTTTAAATAGAGGGATTTCATTTATCGCTGCATATACTGCTGAAAATTGTAATGACTTCTTGTTTGGCCAATTCTTGATGCATGTCTGTTAGTTATCAACGTGAGGTCATTACTTCACTTTCTCATCGATATTATGTGATCTTGATTCCTGTTACCATGACTGTATTTGACTTCTGTCAAGTTGATTATCCTGATGAAGTTGTCTCAGTCATTGGGTTTCTCAAAGTTGATCAACTCTGGAAGGAGTACATGTCTTCTAATGCAGCTTATCAGGATGGCCTCCCGAGCATATGTCATTCCCCCAAGTAGACCTGTTAGTAATCTGGTCTGGGCCTCACCTGCTCTGCTAATCCTATTCGGAAGACCTGCCACAGGGGTATCTTCTTTTAACTTTCAAGTCTCTTGCTGTTTCTGTTCCATAGTGTGTTCTTTTCATTATTGATCTCTTCTCTTCATATCTGTCTTATAGTATATTCGCAAGTGTCTTGGAACATCTCAGCTATACCTAATTCCCTTTGCTTTTGTCTTTTCTTCCCATGCATGACACATTCAGCACAATGCCAATCATCTTAATTGGTACTTGATATGTTTTCAGATACTGCATCCCAATTTGGAACAATCTCTTCACTTGCAATATGGTGTTAACGATAAGTAATGCAGGATTGCATTCCCCAGAAGTTCAGGTTCTGCAAATATTGTATCAGAGATCTTTCTTAAAGCACCCTTAATATTGCACCTGGTTTCGGATAAGTTTATTAGTCTCACTTTACTGGGAAGGATGAGTACCCTGATAAGAAGTTATTATCTGGGAGGCCATCATTTGTTTCAATTTTTGTATGATGCACAACAGTAAAGATTCATGCAGATGAAGCTACGTCACTCTTTTAAAGTGCCTCCGTGACCCCTGCTTTTGAGGCCCCGGTCGTGTCATCAGTTTAGCATGGGAGGATGTGGAGCTACAAAACATCAGATAAACAAAGTTCCACTTCCTTACTGGCATAGGCTGGCCTATGCCTTAATTTACTTGCTCTCCTTTCTTGTATTAGCATATTGACTATATTCTAGTAACACCAGTGTCTTATGTTGTAGTGTTTGAAATTCAGGTCTGACATTAGGACTTGAAGAGTTTGTTCCTGAAGCAATAGTTGAGCTTCTTTCTTAGAGAGTTTGTCAAACATTAAAGCATGCTAATGACGAATATGAAACTGTATTTTACCCTTCTTTTTTCCTTTATCCCCTTGAAAGAAGTGGTAAGAGAGGCAAACATGATTACAAACAATGTGGAAGCAATCACACTGGAAAACACAAACTCCTTTTCGTTTGGTCGGCTGAAGAGGTCCAAATGAACATCTCTTCCACTCATGACATCAAAGAAAAGTACGCTTTGCTTAGCTTTCTCACTGGTTCATCCACATGCTTATTGCATCAGACAGCCGACTTTCCAGATGCTAAAGGTTGGCTACTTTCTAAGTCATGGGCTGTTTTCTCCGGTTGGACTTTTATCTAATAATAGAAGCAATCAAGATTCAAGGTTAGAGTTTGTACAAATATTTGTCTACTTCATAATTCCTGTCCAGAATGAAGAAAAAGGAGCTTTGGAAGGGTTTGTTCTCTTCCTCTTAATCCCAAATGTTGTATGCTTCTCAGAAAAATGGACATAATCATGTAAATTTGCATAAAAAATCTGATGCTAATCTATAATGAAGTTTTTCTGAAATTCAACTGAATTCTTTACAAAGTTTTGAGTGTGGACGTGTTTGAATTGTCATCTGATCAGATGGCACAATTGAGAATCTACCAAAGCCTCCTCTCCATTTGTTTATTATTGTTTATGGTTCTCCACTACAAGAAAAAAGCACCATCCAGCAATGGCAATTCCACGATTTCATCCAATCTCCTTGATTGGCCAAAGTAGCTCATTATTCAATTTATAGTAGTCATAATCAGATCAAATTGGTAAGGATTAGGGGGCCGAATCCTTCAAAAAAGAAAAAAAAAAAGGGATTTGGGGGCCGAATTGAATATCATGTAATTGTAAACAAAACAAAATAGTCAATGGTACAAGAAGAGGATAGACACCAAAAAAAAAAAAAGAAATACTTAGATTTGAGGGGTTTTTTTTTTCATTTGAGGTTATTATCTTTATTTTGCTCAAAAGTGATGTGATGGAATAAAAGATATGAAACAAATAGGAACCAAAAAAAGGAAAAAATAATGGAAATTACTCCCAAAAAAAAATATTTCAGGTAGTTTAGTTTCCAAAGCTTTCCTTTTTTTAATTGTAAGAAATTAAAAGAAGTTAATGGGAAAGCATATGGGTGCTTAGTCAAAAGTCATCCATCAACCAAATTTGATAATTTTTAATTCTTGCTCTTTTTTTTTTTTTCCTTTCATTCTTTTCTTAGAAAGTGACTATCATGACAAATTCTTGGCCGAAAGAGCCAACTAGCCATCCCCTAGGAAAATAAATTTTTTTACAAAATAAGTGCTAAAAAACTGTAAAGTAAAAGGTTAGACCTTTTTTTTTCTTTTCTTGTAAAATAAAAACATAATGTTTATTGCAAATTTGTGTTTCGGGAAAATCACCTATTAGCATTTTGCTATCAATTTGTAGAATATTTCAAATCGATTTAAAATTAATAAATTTTGATAATATTTTTTTGAATTAAATGGTAAAATATCCCTAATTAAATAAGAGAACTTGAGTGTGGACTGATGTAAATTATGGCTATGAAGTGCTTCTATTAAACAACATAACAAAATCACACTATAACTGTTTTGGAAAAAATGTCCCATAAAATTGATTGTTTGGGGTATGACAAAATAAATTATAGTTGAGGGATGCATATTGCAATTAACTCTGAGGTAAAAGAAAAATGAGTAGGAGAATTCTCATTTGCATTTGGTCTGAATTTCAATTCATTTGAAGGAGCATAAAATATAGAAGTTGTCATCATAGTCATCATTCTCTGCTCCCTATTAATATTCTTCCCAGTGTTTCTACTGCGCTCTCTCTTGGAAAAAGCCAGCCCTTTTTCTCTCTCAACAAACTAAAGCAGAAAGAAAAAACACCCAGCAACCGCTTGCTTTTATCAAGGTAAGCTTGTATTTTCATTTGAGTTGCCTCTGATTGTCATGAATTTGATTTGGGGTTTTGAGGTTTGGTACCTCTGTTTAGTTTCTTGAACTGGGTTGGACTTAAATAAGCTTTTTTTTTTTTCTTAAATGTGGCTTTGATTGTCATATTCTTATTGGTTGAGTATCGATTGACTGAAAATTTTGGCTTGATCATCTGTGAAGTGAAATTCTTGATTTTTCATACTTCCGATCTGCATAGTATTATGTGTAAATATGTTGTAGATGTTCTGTGGGATGATCTGTAGTTATTGGCTAATTAATGATGATCTTTGACTACTGGTTGATTTCTTGGATATTTAGAAGAATCTTCATAAAAATTGATTCCTTATTCTTTTTTGTGCTTGCTATCCCTTTTGTTGTTCATGTTTTAGCTAGCTTTGATCGTTTCTTTAGTTGCAGTTTTACTGCTATGGTAAATACCTTGTGTAGAAGTTCAGATTGTATGTTCATCCTGGAAAATTTATGTTTTGAAGTTTCAGTTTTTCTCTTTTTGGTTCTTGTTTTGACCTTGTTTTGTTTGAAGAGAAATTACAACTCAGAAAATCAGAGGATTATGTTTTTTTTATGATTTGATAATGATCGGATTCATATTTGGTCCAAGTCGTTAAGAGTAAAAGAGGATGGTTAGTTCTTATCTACGTGTTTAGCGCCATCTAGCGTGGGAGTGGATCAATTCAGTTTCTCATTCTCTTTAACTAATGAATTGTTTACAGATAGCAAATGACCAAGAATTGCAATTTTTATGAGCTTTACACTTTCAATTGTTTCTTCTAACCTTAAAAAAATTTGCTTACCAAAATAATTTTCAGGAGTCGACATGTCTGTATCATTGATTTAGAAATTGAATTTAAAGCTATCAATCTTTACAAATGTATCTGTATTAGAACGTGCAATTTTTTATATCTATACATGTTCATTATGCTTCAACATTTATCACACGCTTCAATTGGGTAAATGCTTTGGTTTTGGCTCCTATGCAATCTGACTTTCATGTAGTCTTCTTCCAAAGTGTATTATTTATTCGGTTTATCCATAACAGGCTAAGGTAAGATGGCTGAGGGAGAGGAAATTCAACCACTTGTTGTCGACAATGGTACTGGAATGGTTAAGGTTAGTAATAATTTTCTTGCCGCACATGTTGGTTATCCATTTCTGTCTATCTACAGCACTTCATTGCAGTTCCTATCACTTTTACTATGCAGGCTGGATTTGCTGGTGATGATGCTCCAAGGGCAGTGTTCCCCAGTATAGTTGGTCGCCCCCGGCACACTGGTGTCATGGTTGGAATGGGACAAAAAGATGCTTATGTTGGTGATGAAGCCCAGTCAAAAAGAGGTATTCTTACCTTGAAATACCCCATTGAGCATGGTATAGTCAGTAATTGGGATGACATGGAGAAGATTTGGCATCACACCTTTTACAATGAGCTCCGTGTGGCTCCAGAAGAACATCCTGTCCTCCTCACGGAGGCACCTCTTAATCCCAAGGCAAACAGGGAGAAAATGACTCAGATTATGTTTGAGACCTTTAATGTGCCAGCCATGTATGTAGCTATTCAGGCTGTCCTTTCTCTGTATGCTAGTGGCCGTACAACTGGTATGTTTCATGTTGACCTGTAAATTGAAATTTTTGCCCTTGTCGGTTCTTTATCAAAATAACAATACTGCTTTTCTTTCTTGGACAGGTATTGTTCTTGATTCTGGTGATGGTGTGAGCCACACAGTTCCTATTTATGAAGGATATGCCCTTCCCCATGCCATTTTGCGTTTGGATCTTGCTGGTCGTGATCTTACAGATTACCTTATGAAGATTCTTACAGAGAGAGGGTACTCATTCACGACAACCGCAGAACGGGAAATTGTCCGTGATGTGAAGGAAAAACTTGCTTATGTTGCTCTAGATTTTGAACAGGAGGCTGAGACTGCAAAGAACAGCTCCTCAATTGAGAAGAGTTATGAGCTACCAGACGGACAGGTGATCACCATTGGTTCTGAGAGATTCCGTTGTCCAGAGGTTTTATTCCAGCCTCCTTTGATTGGAATGGAAGCCGCCGGAATTCATGAAACGACCTACAACTCAATCATGAAGTGTGATGTAGATATCAGGAAGGATCTATATGGAAATATCGTGCTCAGCGGTGGCTCAACTATGTTCCCAGGTATTGCTGATCGTATGAGTAAGGAAATAACTGCTCTTGCTCCCAGTAGCATGAAAATCAAGGTGGTCGCGCCACCCGAGAGGAAGTACAGTGTTTGGATTGGAGGCTCCATCTTGGCATCCCTAAGTACCTTCCAACAGGTAATTATCTCCTTTGCTGGCTCACATGTATAGAATTAATTAATCAACGACGACTAAATGAAACAAAAGAGGGAAATTTTTAAATCTAACAATAACAGTGAAGGGGATGGATGTATATCTACTGTTTTGAGTTTTTGGAATCCAGACCAATGCTTGACAATCCTGCTGTATTGTGTTTAATCATGCAGATGTGGATCTCAAAGGCTGAATACGATGAATCCGGTCCTGCAATTGTTCACAGAAAATGCTTCTGAAGCTGGTTAGCAAACTTGGTAAGTCTGCTTGTCCATTTACTGTATCGTGTTGAATGAGTCGTCAAGTTTATTCAGCTGGGAATGAGTAGAAATACGGGTGAAGCAATAGTGTAATGGGAAGTTAGCCAGTTATTTCAGATTTTCCTTGCTTAAGGTGGTTTGTCCATGAGATCGATCTTGTAAAATTGTCGTCCAGTGCATGACTAATGGATCCGCTCTTATTCCAGGGGAAGAGTGCGTTCTGGTGTTAATTCTGGTCAAATGAGAAAGCTTGTTGGTTGGTAGCTTGGATTGATTGGCTTGCAGTTTTGGTACATTGTTAGACCATACATAGTAATTGCTATAAGGTTGTGGGCATTTTATTTTAGTCTTTTGACGTTCAATGGATTAGCTTTGCTTCCATTACTCTGTGTATCTTATGATATGTGTTGGTTGAGGCATTGGAATGTAAACATTAGATGGCGTTGAAACCGAAATTCATAGATACTGTCTCTCGAGTCATGCATATCCCAGAAAGTTAATTGTCATGGTGGATACCTTTCC